TCGATCAACCTGCTGCTGTTCCCGACAATTCTCCTATCCGACAGTCGACCAGCTACCGCCGCCGACCAACTCTACATTCATTTCGCCGATACAACCGAAATCAACTACCCTTAAACAAAAACCAGTTATACCGGACCCGACACCGATACAAACATATTTCTCTAGAGTACACCCTTGTACATTTTGGATAAATAAAATCGACGTTATTGTTTCTTAAACCTTTGCATTTGTCCTCTCATTGTCTTAGCTGTTCACACCTTTCTTCATAAAGCTTGCAGGGGCGACATCCTTATCGGCCCCGCAACACATGGTACCAGTCGTGTCTTTATAGACCAACTCGAGAATGGTAGTCTTACACATTTTACAGACCAATTTTAATACTGGTGTGTAATTTGGGGTTTAATTCTTTGCGTTTTCACTCCAGACTTCTAGGAAAATATCACCTCAAAGTTCGATGCTTTTCTGCACTACCTGCCTTCAGAGTGATTCTTAAAAATCTACAACTTCCCGCGTATGGGTTGCTGCTTAGCTATCTTTTATAGATATCTTTGTAGCGTAGGTGAGGCTTGCAACGATGTGCTTTCCCTGGGCTGTTCCAAGCCAGAACACACATATTTGTTTTGAGACAGTGTACATAAAGGGAATCCTAACCTTCTCGAAGACAGTGTTCCTGAAGACTTTATTTTGCCAAGCCATATTCCAGATGCATCGGTGGTAGTGTGCCTGGAAGACGTCGTGCTTCTGTCCCAGTTCAAAATTCAGCGTCCATATTTCACTGCCGTGCAAAAGGATGCTTACGACACAAGATTTGTAAACCAGGACTTGGAAAAAAATTTTATATATCTGAAATTAAAAAAATAGATATCAATAACTATTCAAGTATATATTTCTTTACAAAATAATGTCCAGTCCCCAAATTGAAAAATTTTACAAACCCAAATGTTACTACAAATATTTCTATTGAAAACAAATGACTAAAACATGACTTCTTAATTCTTTGTACTTTTATTGTTCTCTCCGTAATAATATTTTCTTTTTCTCATATTCTCTCACACTCAGTAACCTCTTACGTCTGAGTGGCTTTATTGCCTTGCTTAGGATGAAATTATTAAAAAATAACAATAATATAAGCTGAATTTTATATTATACTAGCAGTAGAGCCCGGTGTTGCCCGGGGATGTAACAGTAAGAGATAGATCAAGTATCGACCATCATAAAGATTGAAAAATAAAATTGACAAAGATTATTGTTTAAAGTTGACGGACACGCATGTCTTAATTAGTTTTGTTTTGTTTTTTTATTTTTTACGAATTGGTCAAAACCAAACTCAAACAAAAACATTGTTTTCAATCGTTATGAGTCTATCGATTGAATAGAATTTTATTATAAACAATTGTCTTGTAAATGGAATTTTTAAAGCATTCTGAATGTAAAATAAAGAAAAAAAAAGTGTGCAAGACAATAAGAAACACTTCCTACCAAAAAAGAAAAAGTGAAGTTTTGCTGAAATCGGTTGAAAAATGTAGGAAATCCGATCCCATATATAAACGTACACACACACACACACACACACACACACACACACACACACACACACACACACACACAAACAACCTGGGTTTTATAATAAGTATAACTCGATATGAGTTGTCCCCCTTTTATTCTGACAGCGATGCCTCTTAATCGTGTTTTCAAATTGATTTCGTGCAAAAACAATTGTGTTTTTCCCATTTTTGGCGCTGTCAGAACCACCGCAAGATAATTTTACGTCGTCTTGTGAAGTTTTGTTGAAATCAGTTGAAAAATGTAGGAAATCCGATCCCCTATATAAACGAACACACACACACACACACACACACACAAACAACCTGGGTTTTATAACTCAATATGAGTTGCCCCCCTTTCATTCTCAGACAGCGATGCCTCTTAATCGTGTTTTCAAATTGATTTCGTGCAAAAACAATTGTGTTTTTCCAATTTTTGGCGCTGTCAGAACCACCGCAAGTTAATTTTACGTAGTCCTGTGAAGTTTTGTTGAAATCGGTTGAAAAATGTAGGAAATCCGATCCAATATATAAACGTACAGACACACACACACAACCTGGGTTTTATAATAAGTATGATTCTGAACCATATGTCGTTAGTGTGTTTTCCGCGTTGAAAAGACCGGCATCGAATTGATGTAGCGGTTAAAATATTTATGATTGTTTTCTAATGTATCCACTTAAGCCCAGTTTATAATTGTGGGTTTTATTTTTGACACACACAAATGTAACGGCAAGAGGAATGCTTTGTGAATTGCAAATTTGTAGAGTTGATACTGGTGAAACTGATATTGGTTGTTGAAGCAGGTTTTCTTAGAAATCTGGTATGATTGTCTGGTATGACTGTCGATTTTTCGGAAGTTCTGGCGTCTGTGGGATCATTATCAATCTTGAAGATGTCTTATTCGTTTGTGGATATAGGTGGTAGGATATTCTTTACTGCAAACTTTGGAATAAGCCGGACAAAGTGAAGGGCATAATGCATAATCAAATATTTTTTTAAATTTTAGAGTGAATCCTTTGGTATTAAAAGTGGTCCATATTTCTAATTTTCTAATCTGGCAGCCCTAGTATAGGCGCTATAAAAGAAATCCCTGACACTAACAGTAACTGATACGTATTGTAATCCTCAAAGTAAATGCTTAGTATATTACTTAACCACAGAATGAATTTATATAAAAACTAGCAGCCATACCCAGCTGGTCGATCAGAAAAAGCGTTCAATTAGAATGGAGCAAAAACAACATCATGTTTAGATGTAACAGAGTCTATCTTCTTCAATTACTTTAAAGTACTTTCATTAAAAAAAAAAACATTTGGAATTAATGCAGTTACTGATATAACAGAAGTAGTCTGTATTTATTCAATCGAAGTTAGCTGAGGACATGAAGGGGTAAAGCAGGCAACATGAAGACCCACTTCAGACTACAATTATTTTGGAGTTTTTGAAATTCAATTTGTCAGTGTGCTACCAGGGATGTAAAAGAGGATACATTTATAAAGAATGGTTAAGTTTGATGAAAAGTGGTTGAAAAATAAACGAAAACTAAGAAAGAAACCAGTAAAAATCGCCATTTTTCGTCATTTATGCGGGTTTTCACTATAGGTGTGGAGTCAATTATCAAGTTAAATGAATGTTAAACAATCAACTTATTGTTGGTTACAATTGAGTGAAGTTTGTATTAGATTGTTTGAAAAGTGAGGGAGTTTAAAACTTGTGTTGCAATCGATTTGTGTTGAAATCGATTTTTCGCTAAACTCAGTGGCGTAGAAATAAAAATGAGGTATCGTTGAGCTCTTCATGATGTAAGTAACCTACATAACGAGGTTGAACGAAATTCGAGGAAAAAAGTTGAATTTATCAATTTTTGATCGTCTTTATCGATTATTATTATTTTTTTAATTATCGTTTTTTTTTTACATTAAGAACCTATCTCTTACATTGTACAATGTATGTGCGAAGTTTGGTCAAAATCAGTTGGATGAATCTCAAGGGAAAAGGTATCACACAGACATGCTTTATATACAGATGGCACTAGTAGAGTGAAAGGAATAAATGATAAATAATTTTGAGTGTTACTTTATTTGACTAATTCACCTAGCAGGCGTCTTGATAGACCAAATGGGGGAGGGGTTTACTACAATGTTTAAAAAAATGTATTTGGCCGATCTGTCAATGATGCTCGAATTTGTTCGGTTTGTAGTCTAATAGGGAATATTTGAATGGTAATTGAATTGTGAGTGATTAACATGACGACGAAAATACAATTGTTCGAAGTACAATGGCGTCCGAAAGTCTTATCATCCCTATATAAAATAATTTTCTATTTCAGATGACTGACACGATCTCCTACAGTTTGGAAGAGAGGTTCAGGGTGACAAAACTTTCGGGCCACCCTGTACCGTGTTATCAGTGTGCTGTTAAAATGTAGCATGTCCTGAACTATATGTCAGTAGTATGTTTCACGTGTTGATCAGCATCAAATTGATATAGCCATTAAAATATTTGTGGTTGTTTTACAGTGTATCCACTTTTACTTGAACCCAATTTGTAATGTTGAGTTTTATTTTAGTAACACAAATGTAACAACAAGAGGATTGCTTTGTGAATTGCAAATTTGCAGAGTTGATACTGGTGAATTTGATACCAAATCTCGAAGCACGTTTTCTTAGAATTCTGAAGAGATGTTTGCGATTAAACGTTATTACATTAACAGTATCGGCGCTATAAAAGAAATCCCCTGACACTAACAGTAACTGACACGTAGTCTAATCCTCAAAGTAGATGTTTAGTATATTACTTAACCACAGAATTAATTTATATAAAAATGGTACTAATAGAATAAAAGAAGTAAATGGCAACTAATTGTGAATGCTACTTCAAATAAATTCTAACTCAATGAAATTCTGCCTGCAACCTCTACCAATAATTAAACATATTTAAAATAATGAATGTGGTCGTAAAGTTTGTAAAACAATACAACAGATATTTATATATTTAAATAAGATTATATTTAAATAATATATCTTACATATCTATTCGTCCATGTTTAGAATATTGCTGCCACATATGGTCCTGCTATTTAGCTAGAACTCCTTGATAAAATCTAAAGAAGAATCAGCAATATTATTGGTCTAGACATGGCGTTTCTGTTTTTGTCACATTCTCACTGCCGTAAAGTTGCTTCCTTTTTTCTTTTTTTTTTTCCTTTTTTTTCTATGAATACTTTTACTTTTTTCGCTATTGTCCCTAGACTTTATGAATTTAAGCGTAGTACGAGATAGCATTTAACAGTCTCTTCCGTAAACTTAGTAACTCAAAAAAGGAACACGTCTTCAAAGTTTGTAAAAGTATTTTTGATACCCCCTATGTGTATATATATATATACAAAGAAGTTTAATTAAAAAGAAACAACATTGATACATACATACATATATACATACATACATACATACATACATATGAACAGACTTAGATAGATAGATAGATAGATAGATAGATAGATAGATAGATATGAACAGACTGATATATATATATAGATAGATAGATAGATAGATAGATATGAACAGACTTTGTTAAATAATCATCAATTTTAATTTTAATTTTATTCAATAATTTTATTTGAATTTTCAAGAATTATTTTCCTATTTTAACTGAATCTGATTTTTCAACGTTCTACGGAATTTTGTTTATCTATTTTTCTGAAACAAAATACAAACAACAAGAAAAGGTCCTTGACATCGGAATTTCGAAATATTACGGAGAAAAACAAATTCATGGGATTTTTTTGTTTATAACGTAATTGTTTGTTCCCCCCGCCCTCTCTGCATTTTGTTCCCATGGACCAGCCTGTTCACTACACATGTTTACAGTGACGATCTGACACTAAGCAATTCAGTAAATGGGTCAGGGACTACGGAAATCTCACACAATTAACCTTCAAGACAAATAAAATGACCGACACACGCAATAAACAAAGTTGTTCGACCTAAAAGACAAATAGACTCGTGTAGAAAATCGACCCCATTTTAAAACCGAACCTAAAGTCAGAGAAATGCTGCGAATATTACTTAATTCTTTTACAAGTCAAATCTTTCTTACAAATTTACTTCAGGATCGACAAAGAAGCAAATAAGTTTACTCTTCAATATACAGGGTACCCAGTAAAAAATGAAATTCAGAAAAAATTTATTTAGCTATCATGATTCAATTGAACAATCATCGTAAATGTTCGAAATGTTTGCCTGAATGTTCAACACAAAGTTGTAACACTATTTACATTATTCGGACTATTGTCCTCATTTTTGTCGACATGTTTATTACAACGCTTCGGCCGTTGTACGCTCCGGCCTTCTTCAGGTGGTTGGAATGTCAAATTTTATTTCGCTCGCTGGGGTAGACTGTTCTAGTTCCACGTGCCATGTCTAATGGATGTCAGTTATCTCCTCTTAGTTCCCCTCTGAAAGTTCTCCACTGCCTTAACCAGGTATTGAACTTCACTGGATCTAACTAACGCCTTTATCCACTGTGCCATGTGTCCTTAAAGACATCTGTGTATGAATTTCTGGGTATTATAAACCTAATGTCTTCAGCAACCATTTTTACCAGTGCTCATATTGCAATTTTTTTGCTGTTATCATTGCATGTTTTTTACCAGAGCTCATATTGCAATTTTTTGTTGTTATTATCGCTTTTCTCTGGCACTCCTTATTACTGGTTCCCATATTGTATTCATTTCTATGCTTGGTCGGCTCAGGAGATTTTTGTGGCCTAGCATATGTGCTGATTCCTTAAGTTTACGAATTTTCCAATGATGTTCCTTGTCTATGATCTCAGCCTGATCCCACAGAGAACGGTGATCTCCCTTCTCTCTCCATATGTAGTCAGCCACGCCTGATTTTTCCACTTCCCCTCGTGTTACAGCTTTCTGGTGTTCTTGAAGCCTTACCTTAAGGGGGCAGCCTGTCTCTCCTTTTTATATCTCTTTCCGCAGCTGCACAGGATAGCGTACATACAGTCTTTAGTCATGTTCTCCTCTATGGTGAGGGGGGGGATCTTACTCGGGAGATATATCTGCGAAGTGTCGTCCAGCTTTTGAAGGTTCTCCTGATGTTATATGGACCGCAGATCCTTTGTGTTTTCTCTGATAACCCCTTCCCATAAGGCAGGCAGACTGTTTTCTGAGTGTTGTTGTCCTCCTCTTGTGCCCGCCTCTCCCAGTTTTTTGGAGGTGCTGCCACGTAGAAATATAGACAGATACAAAGTTGTAAGCGTGATAACCAGGAGGAGGCAGTAGCATTGCGGATAGTGTCAAAAGGAATTTTATTCCAAGCTTCAGTTAAGTTCCACTTCAATGAATCAATATCGAACGACGGGTTTGCAAGTGAGTTAGGACTGTACTCTACATGCAGTAACCCATAAACATTCAGACCTGTGCTTTTAGACGGCCACTGAGATGGACCAATTACAGCTGGTGTATTTTCTCGAAGAATAAATTTGCCGCCTTTTTTTAATGGGTACCATGTATAATATATTGCCGCTTTTTTTAATGGGTACCATGTATAATATATAACTCGCCCGCTACTACGTTTCCGTATTTAGGATCTTCAGGTTGGTTCGATTATCCGAAAGTTGAAACTACATGAGCAGAGATATAGTGATTTTCTAACCGTAGCTTAGATGTGGCACAAGGCCTAAAGTATGGGACACCCAGTATTCAGTCGTAAAGACAAGCTTGCTAACTTTTACACCATGCCGAGGACCAGTGATATAATTTAATTTATATATATATATTTTTAAGTAAACGTTCATAGTATAGTTTCACAGTAGCTTAACTTTTTTTTAATCTGCTAAAACTTGTTCGGAAATATTAATAAAAAAGACAACAATTCGTATATATCCAAGTATAAGTCGAGACTATAAATTTTTCTGAATACTTCTTAAATTTACTTCAAATTGCTCGTAAAAGTCGATCTGGCGTTTTAGTAATTGTTCTAAATTGAATATGTGCATAGAGAGTCCTTTTTTTTTGCGTGTAGCTATTTTTTTTAAAGAATCTTATAATTCTGCTTGTCCCCCTCCCTTCGTTAGCACGACCGTTACGCCCTGCCAATACCTCATAAATAATGGACTATTCCGTTTTGCTCGCATGGAAAGACGGAAAAGACACATGAGAAACGCTACCTGCTTTCAGTGAGAAAAAGAAAGAAGTGCTTAGCGTCTCCTGGCAATATCTTATAAACAATGGACTATTCCGTTTTGAACGTGTGGAAAAACAGCAAAAAACACACCAGAGACGCTACATGGTATCAGTGAAACAAAGAAAGAAATGTTTAACGTCTGTTTCAGTGAAATGGAAAAAAAGTTGTCAATTTTAAATCTTTTCATTTGTACCCACTTCTTAAAATAACGATATGCATCCATATTTATGATTGTTATTGCAATATTTTAAGTTATTAAGTTCAAATACTTTAACGAGGTGATAGGGGAATTTCTAAGGATATCTTATTGCAGAACTCACCATGAGCTTATTCAATCATTAACTGAAGAATTAAGATTTATCAGAAAATTAAAATAGGAAAAACGTAAAATTTTCGCGATTATTTCTAGTAATAGATTAATATCTGAGTGACTGAAATAATATTTTTTAGTAAACTGATGATTACTAAAAAAAAAATAAATTACTAGATAAAATAACACGACCGTTACGTCATAGCACATAGATAATTATTATTCTGCTTAACGTGTCGAAAGAGAACAAAAGGCATTACCTGGTTTCAGAGAGAAAAAGAAAGAAGAAGGGAAGATAGAAATAGAGAGAGATAGAGAGAGAGATAGAGAGAGAGAGAATCAGATTAAGCTGATAAGAACAGATACTACACTTTGATCTTAGCCAAAAAGGCCGTTTATTTACTTGAACTACTGAGTCAGGTTGTGATACAAGGTCGGTTTTTAACGTGGGGACCCGAGTGTTTTCACTCGGGCCGCTGGTCCAAGCTGGTCTTAGCTGGTCATAGCTTCTCCAAGCCGGTCAGAGCTGGTCAGAGCTAGTCATAGCTGGTCTTGGCTTGTCATAGCTGGTCCAGACCCGAGCCGGTCCAAGCTAGTCGTAGCCGTGATCGAATCTTAGCCAAAAGGCGTAGAAGCGATGCTTATTTAAATAATATATAAAATACATTATTTTGAGGCACAGGACGAATGGGAAGGCAGAGAAGCTGATTTACACTGTCTATCCTATACCTAGTTAATCCGACTAACGACCCATTCAATCTAACAATTTCCTCAATCACCACAAGAACACATCCTTCACCACTCAATCCAATACATAATACTGGGGTCCTACTAAAACACCAACGATTTGAAAATGTACTAATATATATATACATTTTTTTAGCATTTTATTACAAAAATATATACGAAAATTTTTTACCCAGGAATGAAGGGGGAGAATAATAATACGATAATCAAAATAAAAGAAACCAAAGAACAGACTAAAACATGTGCGTCAGCCTCAAGTACAATTCGTAGGGTAGACCATGAAGTCCCAGCGACTTGCCCTTGCCTCTTCAATGCCTTGTAGACTTCGCCCTCTGTGATCTCACCCTCACAGCCAGCCGCCTCAGTCGACAAGAGTCAAGGAAAGTCAGCTAAATAGCTGTGAAATTCTTGCTCTTTGAAACCAGGCTACTTGGTAAACCGGTTTTTGTAAATTGCTGCCGAAACGCATTGCACATGTTGTCGATCGCCCGGAGGGAACGTTCATCCGGAGTGTTGACCTGACGAATGAAATGATTGAAACCTCGGTATGTTTCCTTGCGCAATTCTGCGCCCGTGTTCACCGGTTCGTTAAGATATTTTCATTAATCTAGAACTAACAACCTAACCTTGATAGCGCTCGATAGCCGAATGCTCCAGGGTCTCTAGGAGATCTCCCCAACCATCGCCCAGGCCAGGCCATGTTTTAATGCCTTCACCTTCTGAGACTTATCTACAGCAAGACGTTGGTTATATTCGGTGGTGAAAGACCTAATCCTATCCTTAAGATTCTCCCAACACTTATTTCCAGCTACCGCCCCCACTACTTCTCGCTGCACTAGTTAGCTATAGCGGGAAGTCCTCCTTATCCAGCGAGGACACGTTGAACTTCCAATATCCAGCAATTCTATGCCTGGTGTCTAACGCCATCAAACGAGTTTGTGGCACGAATAGCCTAACCAATGCAACATGGGGTAATCTAGCAAATCTAGATCGACTCTTCTAACATTCTACCCAGATAGCTATGTGGTTAGACGGCCAGTTAAGGGCCCACGTCTATACCTGCCGCTCAGTGTGATCGACGCGGTACCTATGGAGGAGACCATACTCGTCGATCAGATCAACCCAGCTACAACCACTCAACATCCGGCTAGCTCCATGCCCCCTGTCCAGCTTGGGATCCAGGATGGCATTTCAATCGCCATTAGAACTAGGCACGTAGCTGACGAATGTATGAACGACGCTCCGTCTGATCGCTGGGCGCATACGCCGCAACGACTCGAAATGAACCACTTTTCACGGCAATTTTGGAAACGACCAACCGCTCTCATCCCTCCCGTTAAGAGGGAGGGATGAGAGACCATTAAAAAGGTTCACCCTCTCATCCTGGGAACGCTTCACAAGCAAGGAATCCCCTCTAGACAGCACACGGTAATCTATATCGCAAAGCAAAGTGAATCTCCTGGATCGCAGCCATATCCACACCGAAGGACAGATGACAAAGCAGGCTGACCGCCTTACTCCGGTCTCTCAAGTCCTTTGCATTCAGGCATGCTAACTTGATTGCCATTTTTTAAGTGCCCAAGTACAGACTAGTCGGAAATCTGCGATCGGATATCGTAACCCGTTTGTCTGCGACAATTTCGCCGACGTCCGTAGGGAAAGTCACTTTTACTTTGAAGTGGGTGGAGAAGAACTGGATCCCTCTCAGAGCAGTTTTTCACAATTTTTTTGAGCTCAGGTCACTATTTGCGTAATCCTGAGCTCCTGGAATTAATCTTTTGTAGCAGATATTAGATACTAGACATCTAATCTGCCACCAGTGTTTCTGATCAGGGTGATAACCCTGGGAGCATTAGGAATTTTCCTGGGGTCCTCTTTTTTTGGTGGAATGGTGGAATGGTGGAAACCTTGAGGGAGAAGAGGAGAGGATACTTGCCTTACCTTATTAGGATGAATCTTTTCTTGCTGGCGAAACAGGAGTAAATTTAGTCTTGGCATTTTCCATGGCCTTCTCCGCCCTTCTTTGTCCGAACTTCTTTGTTAATCTCTCCTTGTCCGCTTCCCCCTTTTAGCGAGGAGGGCCTAGGTGAAAGCATTTCCTCAGGCTTCCTGGTCAATTCCTGTAGCGGTAGCTCCTGTTATGGTTGTTGTTGTTGCAGTCGTTGTTGCTCCGGCTGATGCTCTTTGTTGCTGCTTCCGCAACGACCACTGCTGCTTCTTCGACGAATGCTACTGTTGTTCTTAAGGCTGATGCTGCTGCATTTTCTCCGGGACCGCCTGCTGGGAAAAGGGATACTTTCCTCACTATCTCCTTCCATCCATCGAGGCCATCGGGAGCTTTGCCGATCTTCTCGGTCCCTACCACTTCCTTGGGTGTTGCTGGTATGGCCTGTGGCTTGCCCGCCGGGACACGCTTTAGACAAGTACCAGATGGCACCACAAGACCAGTAGTGGGGTCTTTGACCTTCGACGATAACTAGGATGTTTTGACCTCAGCACTTCAATGTGTCGGGGACGTTTAGGAAGTTCTTGCCGGTTACTGTCACCTGAAGCACAAAGTCTCCAGTGGCAATGCCCGCCTTGCTGATAACTGGAGTGATATACCCGACGGATTCATACCGTGAAAAGAAAGCCTCCAGATGGTCCGGGGAGATATCCATGGGCACCCCATGAAGTGTCATCCTGGTGCAACTGAGAGATGAAATGTAGTTTATCCGTCCGAAAACAAATACTACACTTTGATCCCATCCAAAAGGCCGAGGGTATTTTTCAGCACACCCAGGTCGCTACAGAATGTGACACAATGTCCAGTTTTAAAGCGGGTTTAACAGCAACACCGTGCAAAAAAATTACCTGAGCCCCCTCGACACTTCCCCTTCTGTAGACGCCTCAGGTGTCGTGCAATAAACCCAGTCCCCTCTCTAAGGAGAGGTAGTGCCTAGGGCGAGGGTTAGGGTTAGGGTTATGGGCTTAATATTATTTAAACCTCCCCGATCCAAAAGGCCGAGAAGGAATTTTTCAGACGCACAGTATCAAACGACGGAAACCGAGTAAGCAATCTCTAAAAATCCAATTACCATAAATTAAATAAAACAACATCGTCTGCTGAATTATTTTTAAATTATTATTAAAATAAATGTTTGTAAAATGGGGATTTGGCTAAAAAAAGAAAGAAAGAATGGAAGATAGAAGTGTTTAACGTCTCCTGCCAATACCTCATAAACTATTCCGTTTTGATCGTGTGAAAATTATTTTGTGATACAAGGCCTAAGGGGAAGTGATGAGAGCCTGGTCTACATTGTTTATTCTACACCTGGCTAATCCAACCCACAACCCGTTCACTGTAACAATTTCTTCAATTATCACAAGAAGACATCCTTCATTACTCAATCCGACATATACCATAATACCACATATTCGTTAAGGTACTACTAAAACACCCACGATGTATATATATATATATATATATATATATATAATTTTTTTTATCTCGAAAAGCGATGGCGCCCGTAATAAAAGCCGCCATTTTTCAAACACACAGTATCAAACCATGGAAACCGAGTAAAGCAATCTCAAGAAAAATGCTATAAATTAAATGAATCGTCTGCTGAATTATAAATTAAATTATCGCCTGCTGAATTATTTTAAAATTATTATTAAGACGGGGTGTTGGCTAGAAAGAAAGAAAACGTAAGAGAAGATAAAAATGTTTAACGTTTCCTGCGAATATCTCAGAAACTATATCGTGTTGATCACGTGGAAAGGGGTGGGGAAAGACACAACTTGGTTTCAGTGAGAAAACGCACGACATAAAGAAGGGAATATGGAAGTGTTTAACGGCTGTTTCGGCAAAATAGAAAAAATTGTCAATTTCAAATTTTTTCATTTGTACCCAGCATTCATATTTATTATTTTTATTCTAATATTTCGTTAAAGTTGTTAAGCTCAAATATTTAACGATGTGACAGAGGAATTTCTACGAATATTTTATTGTCGTAGGATTCGCCATGAAATCGTGTACTGCTGCCATATATGAGCAGCCACGGACCAATTTTCACTTTTCAGTTTCGATAGAGTCCGCGAATTTGTGGCTGATGAATTATTTCCCGCCCTGCAACCCGTTACCCACAAACAAAATGTTGCAAGCTTCACGCTGCTCTATCGCTATTTCCAAGGAAAGTGTTCAGATGAACTACATTCCTTAGTCCTGACCTTCAGGGGGCTAGGGCCCGCCGAGCCACACCCACTGAAGTGAACCACTTTCATTCCCTTCGTATCCGATTGGTGAGATGTAAATTCTACTAGAACTGCTACTTCCCACGAACAACTTTATGGAACCGACTCCCAAGAGAATGCTTCCGTAACCTGTTCAAGTCTCGGATTAGCCTTTATCTTTTCTGTATATCCCCATAAACTGTGTTTCTTACTCTGTAACCTCTATCTCGAGTGGATCTTGGTCCTTGTACAGAGTAAACAACAATACCAAATATACTCATGTAAAAGTCTATTGCATCCAAAAGAAAAACGTAATGTTATCCTCAAGTAAAAAGAATGATCATTTACCGTATTTATTCGTGGGAAAGTCGATTTTATGTAAAAAAAACAAACAAAAAAAACGTTTTTTTTTACTTTTACACGAGTATATATGGTAAAGAGTATCATTTACCATATATACCCGTGTAAAAGTCGATGTAAAAAAAAGATCTATCTTTTCTTAAATCGTAGTTTTTTCTTTGTTTGTTTTGTTTTATCATTTCACCCGCAAGCAAGGCAATAAAGTCACTCGGACGCAAGATATTACTGAGTGTTAGAGAATATGAGAAAAAAAAGACATGATTAAAGAGAGAGAACAATAAAAGAACAGGAATTAAGAAGACAGAATATAATGATTGAGATTAATTCAAATTTTTAAAGATGACTGGGAAGCAAGAAGCCGGAAGAGAGTTTCACGAGCGGGAAGTGCGAGAAAAGAAACTGTTAGCAAACAAAAAAACAAAAAAAAAAACTGTTAGATCTCGCCATTTCCACTACAAACAGATGAAACCTTGCCGTTCATCTAGTGCTGCGCTTAAATTCATAAAGTCTAGGTTCGACAGAGGAAATTTCATCAAAACAATTACCGTGAAAGTATTTATAGAAAAAAACACAGGGAACCTACGTTAAGGCGGTGGGGAAAGTGACTGAAACCAAGATGCAAGGTCAGGACCAATAACATAGCAGATCCTTCTTTATAAAAAATCTCTAAATATATAGCAGGAGCACCAGACCATATGTGACAGTAATATTCAATGGAGTTAAAAATATATTTCCCAAGAAAATTCAGGATGATTTTTTTTTAGAGAAACAGAGGGTTCTCATTGCATATATACTTTTACCATATTCATTAACGCTCAGGAAGCCCTTGTGCCTTAGTGGCTTTATTGCCTTGCTTAAAGTGAAAGGATTGAAAAGAATTAAAAAATTATATATATATATATATATATATATATATATATATATATATATATATATATATAGATGTGTGTGTGTGCGTGTGCATGTATTTCAAGATTTCAGTTGAAAATTTCTTTAACTATAAGACTAGCTTGGTTTAGCAGTTCTCCAATTCAAAAGCCAATAAGCAATAGGGCGTCCAAATGAAGACCAAATTGTCTACTTAGTAACAATAATTACATATAACACCAGTTTAGAAACTATTGCTCTACGGTAGGATACTGTTACTTTGATATTTTAAATGTTTTATTCCCAATTTTTCAAATTATTTTTTTTAAATTAGATAGTTTTAACTGATATATTTTTATGGTATTGCAATTTACAAATATTGGTAGTCTATGGCGTCTGGGTAAATATTAATCTACCAGGTACATTACCTTTGTATATAATATATATGCCTCCCTATTTACATTTAATATTTGTCTTATGCAGTCAGACTTAGTACAAGTATTGTTTGTTTATGTGATCTGAGTAAATATTAGCCGACAGATACATCGAGTTTACGTGTAAGTCTCTCTAGTTACATTTAATGTTACGGTATTTTGGGCATAGGTTAGGTATTTACCAAACCTTCCCACAAGGCAAGGTGTGGCACAAGGCCAGTTTTTACGTAGGGCAAGACGGAGCCCGTAGGCTCAGGCAACAATTTCCCCGTTTGTCTACCTCCCCAAATGAGACTCTGCCCTTCGGCATTGCCTCGTCTGGCTTCCTCTCTGCCCGAAGGCATAGAGTTCGACAAACCTGTTGCGAGCCTGATAGCGAATTGGCTGGGCCGAGGCTTAGGTTATGTACAAATACTGGTTGTGCATGTTATCGGAACTAACATTAGCCTATCAGATACCGAGACTTTTGCAAATAAAATTCTCTATTTACATTTAATGTTACAGTATATATATATATATATATATATATATATATAATACTGTAACATCATATATATATATATATATATATATATATATATATATATATATATATATATAATACTGTAACATTATATATATATATATACATATATATAATACTGTAACATTATATATATATATATATATATATATATATATAATACTGTAACATTTTATATATATATATGTATATAATACTGTAACATTATACATATATATATATATATATATATATAATACTGCAACATTATATATATATATTACTCTAACATTATATATATATATATATAATACTGTAACATTATATATATATATATAATACTGTAACATTATATATATATATATATATATATATATATATATATATATATATATATATATATAACATTATACATATATATATATATATATATATAATTGCACATTATATATATATATATAATACTGTGACATATATATATATATATATAATAATAACATTATATATATATATATAATACTGTAACATTATATATATATATATATATATATATAATACTGTAACATTATATATATATATAATACTGTAACATTATATATATATATATATATATATATATATATATATATATATATATATAATACTGTAAAATAATATAAATATATATATATATAATACTGTAACATTATATATATATATATATAATACTGTAACATTA